ATTGGTAGCAGCTTCAAATAAGTAATTAAACTGTAGTGTTCCTTTGTGCTAAATATCAAAACCAAAAGAGTACTCAAAATCATGAACAATACTTGGAAAAAACTTTCAGAAAAATCTGTGAGCTTTTAGAAACTTGGAAAAGTTGAGAGAACTTTCTTAGTTAATAAATTTTGCCATTTATAAGTAGATGAATCAATTTTCAAAATACCAGAGAGTAAAACGGTATGGAAGGAAGCCAAGAAATGCTTATAGAAACTAAGATTGTTTTCCATAACTTCAAAGTATAATAAGAGCAGTTACATGAATGTTTCAGTACCTGCCAGAATTTGGAGGTGGCTACTAAACTTGTTTTTCCCCCTGAAAACTAGGTAAGGTTTAGATTCCATTCCTTGCATTACAGTACTATAATAGAAAGTTTATGGAAAGATATGTAACCACATTGTAGAGTCTGGGGTTTTTCTTTTCAGTAATTCACAAATGCCTTATGCTTGAGATAGGAAATGCAGCTAGTCGGTTTAACACGTTTCCAGGTTGTAGTATGGGAGCTCTTCAGGCAGGGTCTGAAGTGATTATTAAACTGTGGAGCTTGTGAGCACTTCCAAGGTCCCAGCACTCTGTGTGTTCTCCAGCTCTGTTCTGCTTCCAAGGTGAGGCAGAACACAGATACTCAGAGACAAAACTCAGATATTCATAGTCCCCCCACATACTTCATTTCCTTGGGAAGGCAGGTACGTAGGCCAGAAGGAATCCATCATATTCGATGGGCTGTTCACAACTGTGAAAACTAGGGTATCAGAACCACTGGGAATGTCACACACTACTCTTGCTGATACTCTCAGTGTCTTTTCTTTTTCTGTTCTTTTTTTTTTTTTTTTTTTTTTTTTCCCCTGACTTATTCCAACCTGTGTTTCTATAGCAATAGAAATAAAAATCTACCAGCAGCTTGGAGGCAGGCAGCAGATGACAGCTTTCAGTCCCGGATTTCAGCAGTTGACTTTCAAATGATAGTTCTAAGAACCTACTGCAATAACAAGCATGAAGATTTTAGTGCAATATTGGCTTTTTTAAAATGTGTTACTTTGAAACAGAGGAAACACGGATTGGGGATAGAATTACTATTTAGAAAAATGTTTATGCCTCTCTATTGACAACTAGATGCTTGTGCTTTTTGGCCTCAATCCTGCAATGTACACAGTGTGCATGGAAGTAATTGTATTCTCATGCATTTTATATGCGATAGTGTAATAGGTAATAATCAAGAAAGATACTGGTTTCTTCAAGTGGAGCAATCTAAGGTAAAGAAACAACAGAAATGGGACATTGGAGGAAAAACATTCTGGGATATGGAAGAGAAACCCACAAAACTCTGGAGAGGAAATTGAGATGCTTTTTTGAGGACCCATCAAGTGTTATGGAAGATTGCAAGAAAAGAGTCTATAAAAAGAGAGAAGGTGATTTGGGAATTCTTTGGAGGAACTTCTCAGGAAGGGAAACAACAGCAATATATTGTTCAAGAACAGTCCTTCACTGTGCTTAGGAATCCTCCAGGACTGATTAGAAGTCGTTCAGTCGATTCGTGACAGCCTGGTGACAGAGCGCAAGGACTGCATGGCCCTGCCTTTGCTGCCCTCTTCCTCTTCCTGCTTTCCACCTAATGCAGAGTTTTAATTGGCCTGGTAGCACTGGCCAATATATATTTTGATCAGTGTTGGAAACAACACTGGAACAACACCTAGTTGTATAGCTGATTATTTTTTTCTGATGTACATGATTTGTTGTTGGTGAAATTCACCTTTTGCAGAGTGAAAATACAGAAGTTAGTTAGCTCTAATTTACTCATTTTTTAAATACGTCAGTATTGAGCAGGCATTGAGGAATTCCTTGGTTCGTTTCTATCCTGAAGTATTCCTCATCACTCTGGTAAGTTTCCAAAAAGAGTCAGTCTAGTAAATTCCTTTTCATGAAAGACTACAAAGGTTCTGAATTCTTCATGCCAAGAAGAATTGTCTTTTCTAGTCCCTCCAGGGCTAGGAAAAAAAAACCCATGTACGATGCAGTTCCTCATGAATACACATCACAAGTTGGTGAACTGCAGTTGGCTGTTCAAGAACACTGACTTCACTCTTTGCTCTTTGAGTGACTTTGAATAATAATAGTTTTGAGAAAACAGCAAACCAGTCAAAAAGTTCAAAGAGAGGGAAAGAAAGAAAGAAAGAAAGAAAGAAAGAAAGAAAGAAAGAAAGAAAGAAAGAAAGAAAGAAAGAAAGAAA